GATCTGATTGGATCTGATCTGGTCTGATTGAATCTAATTTTATCTGATTGAATCTGATCTCATCTGATTGGATCTGATCTGATTCGATCTGATCTGGTTTGATTTGATCTCATCTGATTTTAATAAGAATAAGAATAAATAAGAAAAAATAAGTTGAACGGAACGGGGCCTTAGTTGATATTAGGAAAGAGGATCTAGATCTTGGTTAGTTATCCAAATCCAACCATTTATGTTTAGAGTTTACTTAAATTTAAGTTACAGTATTACGTAGTAGTTGTTGGGAACTTAGGAATCTAAAAATTTTTGTAGTGAGAGATTTGTTAAGTCACTATCCTCAGCTTTGAATGTCAATTAAGAGTGGGAAAGGCATCCAGAGAGATGGGATAGAATGTGTGCCTTGTGATAATATTATGGCTTTTGAGGAACCTAATCTTTGCTTTTGACATCTAGGAACTTCCAGCATCAAGAAGATAAGAACGAAGACTCGGAGAAGGGGATGAAACAAGATTTTGGTCCAACCTGTGATTGGATAAATAAGCGGTTAGGCAAAAAAGTTACCGGGGTACAAATCTCAAACCGTCTAAGCTCGTCTCCTAGTGTTCTAGTAACTGGGAAATTTGGTTTGTCTGCAACATGGAAAGATGTTTTTTTTCATATTGTTTTGAAGTTGCATGTTACTTTTTGGGTTTTCCTAAAGTTATTTTCTGATACATGTGATTGTTGCAGGCTGACGAAGGCCCAAAGTGCTAGCGATACTCTAGCTTGGCATTTATGAAAAGCAGGAGGATCTTTGGGATAAATCCTAACCACCCTATCATCAGAACATTGGACGTGAGTTAGTTTGGTTGAATTATTAAGATAGTATTTTGCCAATCCACTTTCCCAACTTTCTGTGTTTTTGGTAAATGTCTCTACTTTACATGGTACAGGAGGCGTCCAAAAACAGCCCCGATGACGAAGAAGTCATGCGAGCAATTGATCTTTTGTACGACACGGCTTTGGTTTGCAGTGGTTACATTGTGAGTGACGTGAGTTAGTTTGGTTGAATTATTAAGATAGTATTTTGCCAATCCACTTTCCCAACTTTCTGTGTTTTTGGTAAATGTCTCTACTTTACATGGTACAAGAGGCGTCCAAAAACAGCCCCGATGACGAAGAAGTCATGCGAGCAATTGATCTTTTGTACGACACGGCTTTGGTTTGCAGTGGTTACATTGTGAGTAATATCACATCTTATTTCACTTGCATCGACACTTACAATGTCTTTTTACAACATCGTTGTACATTAATTACTATAATTGTTGTACACATGGGCACAACTTAGTTATACTTTTAGTGCGTTAATTATCAATTATTGTAATCAGGGTACACGGCTTTGACGGATGAGCTTTCTAATTTGTAAGATATATATTATTAATATATTATTATTATTAATACATTATTACTAAAATTTCACAATGCCTATTTATTTTTGAAAATTAAAAGTGAATATTCATTTTAAAATAAAAAAAATGAATATTTAAATGCAAGAGATGCGTATCAAAACTTGGTTAATATTTTTCACAAACTAAAAAAATGAACGACAACAAACCAGTATTTTGAATCTTTGTGAATATTTTTATGTCCATACACAAAAACTAAAACTCAAAAAGTATAGTTTACACATAATAGAAGCAAGAAGTTTTATCGCTTGTGATGTTGGGACCTAGCTGTGTGCCGGCTTTTCCCTACTGGGTACATTGTTTAGCCATTGAGGTACGCATACTAATCTCAAGTGTACTACTGTATTGGAGTAATATGGATCTCAATTATAGCCTAGATAGGTATGCATAAGTCTGAACCCTACTTGATCATGCATTCACCCATTATTATTGTTATTTTCTTTATAATTCTAACAAGAATTTACTTGTAGTGTTTCCGTACTATGCTATGTAAGTGTTGTTAGAATTACAAAAAAATAACAATAATGATGGTGAATGCATGCTGAAGTGGGTTCAGACTTATGCATACCTATCTAGGCTATAATTGAGATCAAATATTACTCCAATAAAGTAGTACACTTGAGATTAGTATGTGTACCCCAATGGCTGAATAATGTACCCAGTAGGGAGAAGCCGGCACACAGCTAGACTCATCTTATGGGTTCCAACATCACAAGCGATAAAACTTCTTGCTTCTGAAGGTAGCACGGTAGTGTCTACGGTTTGCTTAACGAACTTAGCAAATCTTAAACTAAAAACGTACTGGATCTCTGAAAAAATTGCAAATCAAATAATCATATATTTATAATTATCTAGGCATACTTACCTACTCTTAGTTCTAGAAAAATGTATTTGGTAAACTTGAATGATTTATGGTCCAGTGTATATGCACTATTTAATTCTAAGAATAGCGCCTATGGGTGAGTAAGTACTGAATCGACATCGAAATTTACCAAAAAAATTGAGAATATGAAAAATACCAAATTAAAGATAATATTGAGAAAAATATTTTGGAACGGTACGAGGTGACGTCACATACCGAAAATCCCGAACCGATTATATATAGTACTTCGTAAAATATTATAAAAAATGATATCCCAAAGTAATATTTTTATATTCCTTCACTAACAAATATTTTTTAAAAAAAAAAAATTGGTTCAAGTTCTATTATGTGTAAATTATACTTTTATTTGAGTTTTAGTTTTTGTGTATGAACATAACACAGATTCAAAATACTTGTTTGTTGTCGTTCATTTTTTTAGTTTGTGAAATATATACCAAGTTTTGATACGTATCTCTTGTATTTAAATATTCATTTTTTTAATTTTTGTGTATATTCAGTTTTAATTTTCAAAAATAAATAGACATTGTTAAATTTTAATAATAATGTATTAGTAAGAATAATATATTAGTAATATATCTTACAAATTGGAAAGCTTATCCGCACAAAGGCGTGTACAATGATTACAATAATTAATAATTAATGCACTTAAAGTATAACAAAGCTGTGTATAACGATTATAGTAATTAATGCACCAAATGTATTAATTAATTAATGCACACTCTAGAAAAAGTAATTAATCGAAGAGCATTGCTAGATTTACAAACAGAATGCTCACAAACTTACTATCTATGGTTTAAAATCTCATTTTAAAATTTATTAGACTATTTAATTTTACACATGGCAAGAAAATAAGTTATCTCACTTGGAATGGACAAATAGATAGGATACTCAATTCGGTGTTATACGACCAAATCAAAGAGGACAACAAGGGCGATGGAGATTAGATGCCACAAGCTTACCAAGATGTAGCTGATATACTAAGGGCTCACTTGGTGAGTTTTGGAAATATGATAAGATATATGTTTTGAATCTGGAAAAAATGATATGAATTTTGAAATCTGGAAGAAAAGTGGTTGGAGAAAAGAAAAATGGAATGAAATCACAGTCATAGATGTTTGGTGAGTAATTAAGAAATCAAATGCAGATTTCAGATTTGAATTTATTAGCCGCTAAAATTATAATTTTACTTTTTAAGGAAAAATTGTATTTGTACATCCTATTAACGGAAGTTGTCTATTTTATTATCATTATTTGACTTAAAAAATTAATTTTTTTAATATCTTTTTAAAAATATTGTGTATTACAATACAAATTCTCCAAATAAAAAAAACATCACTACAAGTATAAAAACCAACATCTATAACACATGTAATATTCTCCAAATGAATACATAGACATATATAATGCTATACAAAATAGAAAAAATCATAAATTAATGTTCACTAAAAAAGTGACATCCACAAAAAAAGTGGATAATATGTTTAAAAATGGTGAAACCATAGTTTTAAAACTGGACCGGACCGGCCGGTTCGGACCGGGAACCGGTGAACCGGACACCAAACCGGTCCGGTCCGAGCAATCAGACCGTAATCCGCAGCGAACCGAAGGGAACCGGTTAAAACCGGTGACACCGGACGGTTTTACCGCCGGTTTTTTAGTTTTTTTTAAACATTGTTAAAAAATACACCGTTGGGATTCGAACACGGGATGGGTGGATGAGAATGGCAGCTGGAATCCATCTCTACTACAAAGCTTAGTGATGACTCTCTACATTTCGTTGTTTATATTACTAAACTAAATTTTTCTCTCGAATACTATAGATATATATGTGCATATTTAGTTTTTTTTAAAAAAAAATTCAAAACCCATTGATATAACTGATATGGAGTGCATATCACACAAATATTTTATACTCCCTCCCTCCCATTTTATAACGTCTGTTTCGGTTTACGATGTTTGACTGAAATTATTTTCAAACCATTTTATATAACAAATGGTATAGAATTAAAAAATAAAAATTACATATTAAAAAACTACATGAAAAGATCTACAAAACTAAAAGTGACAATAGTATTTTATTTTATCAAATTGCTATCAAAAATAGAGAAAGAAAGTGAATGAAGTTTGACCCTGTGAATAGTGAATAGACATTATAATTTGGGACGGAGGGAGTATATATTTTTAAATTAATAGGTAAAATGTTTAAAAAAAATTCAAATCGCTTTTTATTTATAAGCTTTTTAAAATAAGTAAATTTTATTTTTTATTTAATGAAGCAAGTCAAGTAAATTAAGTTAAATTATAAATTTAGTAAAACATCAATTCTTTATTTATAAATAGAGGAAATATTATTTTATTTACTCATATATTAGTTTTTTAATTCAATGCCACAATGTGTCTATACATACATACATATATGCATACACACACATACACATACATACATACATACATACATACATACATATATATATATATATGTGTGTGTGTGTGTGTGTGTGTGTGTATATATATATATATTTATTTATTTATTTATTTATTTATTTATTTATATTTATTTATTTATTAAAAATGTTTGAACCACTGGTTCAACCACTCGAACCACTGGTTCGATCAGTAAACCAATGAACCAGTGCCTTGACCGGTTCGATCACCGGTTCGGTTCTGAAAACTATGGGTGAAACATAACTTTATTTTCACATAAAAAGTCAAAACTCTAGCCACGCAGATTTGGATTAATTACATTAAGAATGAATTCTGTTTTCCACTCCTGATCGGGGCAATGATAGTAGGGAGAGACTTTTCTCATCTGAAGATAATTTTCTTACTGCAAGCATTGTTTGAGTTCTTGAAAGCCCAGGAATTGAGCTCACCTCATGGAATGATGGAATAAGCTTTCTTTTTTAGCTTCAATGTCCTTTTTTTAGCCTCACTTCCTTCTTCACGAGCCATTATGGCTAGATCATGTTCTTGAGTTGTAGAGAAAGCACTCGCAATTGTAGAGAAATGAGAGGTCATGCCACCTTAAAAAGATGAAATATTAGAAGAAACGTTGATAATTGATGATTTCAACTCAACCTCTGGATTTTTCATTTTGGTTTTGCCCTTTGCATAGTTCTTTTCTTGGTTTTTTCCCTGTATGCGGTGCGGTGATGGTTCGCTAAAGGACTCGTCGTTACCTTTATCCTCTCCAAATACATCGTTGTTAATGCCAGCAGCTTCATTATCAGTTTGAAGGGTCTCCACAGCTTCCTCATAATCTTCACATGCACCTCCATTAGCTCTATATGCTCCAGAAACCTTATCTAGATCATCAAGAAAGGGAAAAGAAATAACCCACAATCCCTTTGCATTCTTATATTTTTGTAAGAATAAAAGGAATAACTTTAAAAGATAGAAAAAACAAAAGAATTGAGGAAAGATGCTTGATTTTTTTGGAATGTGATGTACGCTTAAAGAAACATTCATATGTATGATAATGTGTGCTCAATTGAACCTAATCATTAATCAGACTCAATCCATATGTTCTTAGGAAAAGAACATTCCCTTTCATTTTTTAGAACATATATAGTAGGGGCATTATGAAAACATGAGCACATCACATAACATTCTCTAGCAACAAGTATGTAGTCCAATTAGCATTTGAAGCTTGAAGGATATGAGCATTTATAAAAAAAGAACTCATCAGTATGAGTGTAAACTACAATCTATTAATGAAAAAAATGAAAACCCAAATAAACATCTACTAAAAGCAAAAGTGAAATTCTTACTTTGAGAAATTCATCATAGGATTGTCTTTCGCACTTTATCATCTTGTTTGTGTCATCCCAAGAGAATCCTGAAGTGCCAAACATCACCATTATCACATTATGCTTTTCCCTGAATTGTTTCACCTTGGATTCAATTTGAGTCGATGTCATTCCACACCCAGGAAATTTTTCATTCATCAATTTTTCTAGTTTTTGTAGGTATCCATTCTTGAAGTTCCTGTCTGCTTTCCACTTAGGATATGTGCTTAACTCCATAAGAAGATGCACCAAACCCCACTCCTCATCTCTTGACCAAAATCGTTTATTCTTACCTCTTCCACGCATGACTTTGTTATTTAAGTTTTCAATATTTTCACTCGATGGCAGGTTGCTTTGGAGGATGCTGCTGATCCTGATATCCGTATATAGATTGATAATGAAAAGGGCATAATTACACCCACGTTATCTTGACTCTCACTTCATACTATACCTTGACAGTGTCAAAAGTCATCACTGCGTATGTGGATATACAGAGACACCGGAATTGGTATGACTTGTCAGGAAATTGTTGACTGCCTTGGTACTATATCTCAAAGTGGAACAACAAAGTTTTTGAAAGCTTTGAAGGTGTACTCTTGAGCATGATCATTTGCCGGTTCTACTATCACCGGCATGTCGTTATCACATTGTCGTTATCACATAACTAACTTTTAAGGAGACTTTTACGCTTAAATAGGATATCAAGGATGCAAGAGCTGACAGTAACCTAATTGTGCATTTCAGTGTTGGATTCTATTCAGCTTTCCTTGTTTCTGAAAGGGTATTTTTTTGTTAATTTACTACTCTCTATGACTTTAACTTGTCTTAAATTTTTGGTGAAGTTTATTATTATTCATTTATGAAAACAGGTTGATGTCTCAACTAAGAGCCCAAAGTTAGACAAACAATATGTTTGGGAAGGGGTGGGGGGGCTAATTCTAGGACCTATTGCATTCAAGAGGAGACTGATCCAAGACATAGCCTCGAGTGATAACAAAAATGTAAGTTCTTTTCCTTACACCGTAATGTTTTTTCGAAGAAACTCTCCGTTCTAATTCTGGATGTGAATTTTTCAAAGTGTGCTTTGGGGAATGTGATGTGTATATTAACAACTTTCGTATTTTTCAATTGCCTTTATATTTTTCAAAGTTTCACTCCACCAGTCACACTTTGGCAATTACCTCAAAATAGGTTGCATTGATCGCAAGAGCCACAAATGTCTTGCCCGGTTGCTAAGATTTTTCTCTTCTCAAAGTGAGGAGTATACAATCAGCCTTGATGAATTTGTAGAGAACACGAAGCCAGATCAGAAGGACATATTTTATATTATATTGTTTGCGACAGTGTAGTGGTTGCCATGAACACTCCCTTCTTGGAAAAGCTAATTGAGAAAGACCTTGAAGACTTGAAGTATGGGATTTGTGAAACACATTATGTTGGTCTCTTACTCGTTGATACCACAACTTGAATGCCATTTTTTCTCTTTTATGCAGGTCCTCTTTTTAGTTGATCATGTTGATGAACTTGTAATCCAGCAGCTCAAGTTAAAAAGAGTTTGTTGATATATATATAAGTTTGTTTTATGCAGGTCCTATAAGGAAACCGCCGGCGGGTCGGAGCGTTTTCCGGCCAACTCCGGCGAAATTGACGGCGGGCACCAACTCCAATGCGGTCGTGGCATCCGGGCGACCTCCAAAGACACCTCAATTGCAAGATTTGATGAAGATTTGCAAAACCCCCAATTTTGGATTCAATTTCGAATTTTAGGGTTTTTTCGAGTAGAAAAAATCAGATTCGAGAAGTTACAGGCCAAATTAGACAAAATGGTTTAGATATTATTGATTCTCCTCTCAAGACGAAGAGAATGACATTGGTCCCGCCGGAATCGGAAAAAGTTCATTTTTCGGCGGCTTTGACCGGCGGGCGGCGGGGCGTGGATGAAAAGAAAAGAAGAAATGGGGTCAAATTGAAAATTTTAAAATATATAAAATTCGAATTTGGCCCTAATGACCGGAAGTTAACCTAGAAACGCGCTAATGGCTCATTATTGAAAGGATTGTGTAAGTTCCGGGATTTTTGTGAAAGGATTTGAAGTTCAGGTACCACTTCAAAATTCCAGCTAAAGTTCAAGTACCATTTGTGAAATTTACCCGGTCTAGAGAGTATACAATAAAAAAACCTTTTCAACTCACAAATTCCAATCCGAGCCGCTACTCCCGCCAGAAACCCTAGTCTCTTCTTCATCGCTTCGCTTCTTTGATTAATCATCGTCTTCTTTGTATCTCTTGCTTCGCTCTGGTATGATCCATTTGAGCTATGAATGTATCGGTAGAATGTGTTCAAATTTCTTCTTTTGGATGAATATGCCCTTTTCAATTTACTGTTTGCACTTTATTTTTATCGGAGTGTTCTCCCATTATCAGGATGCATTCTAATCTATGTGATCATAGTTTAATGATTTTCATATACTCGTGTGTGGGTGTGTATTTATATGACTCTTTTAGGAGTCATTTGGTGAGTTTTGGAAATATGACATGAGTTTGAAAATCTAGAAGAAATGATATGAGTTTAGGAATCTCAAACAAAAGTGTTTGGAGAAAATGGAAATTAAAATCTTCTCTCTTGAATGCGGATGACCCCTCTAAAAATTCAAGAGTTTAAAGGTTGAGAAATTAACATGAATACGAATCGTGATGCTAAAAAGTAACATTATTTAAGAAACAGCTTAAAGAAAATGAATGAAGAGATGAGGATGGTGAGAAAAGAGATGTTAAGCGCAGAAAAGAAAGGATATCAAGAGCTCTGCATTTCATATCACCATTATGTTGCCAATTTGGAGTAGCTGACTCACATATCTTTTAAATTTTAAATCTAAATTCTTATTTATTTCTCACCACACACCTTTTTTTAAAAATTTGACATCTCTAATATAAAGATCCATATTTGGGTTGCTCACGAAACGGGCCTTTTATAATTTTTGACTAGTATAACTATTAAATACATCTGCCTAAAAAAGTGGAAACAATTGAGAAGTAATTTTCCTACACTAAAAAGTACGGAGTAAATGTCAAGAATTTTATTTTTATTAGAATTTTGTTATAAATTGCTTTTTCAATGATGTCTTTCAAATTTTTAAGCTCATAAATTTTGTGTGATGATTTGTAATTAATTTTTCATTATAATTTTATCGGCTGAAGACCTGTTTTTGAAGTAATACTTAGAACTAGAGTGCAGGGGAGAACTCATAAAGAGCTTGAGTGCAAAGTGTAGTTCTTGAATATTTGACTATAATTCATGAAATTTGTACCCTTTTTTGCCTATGTTATTGTTGTTAATATGATACTTTAATGTGACTATTAGAGCTTTTGTTTTGGTGTAATTTTGAGAATTTCAATGCCCGATCCTCTTTCTAATAATCTGGAAACCAGTGGTTTTGAATTTAATAGTTTTATCTTATCCCGTAATTTTTTAAGGTAAACCAACACTTGTATTTATGCAACTTAAAAAACAATTAAACAAGTCAGTCTATAAGTTTTTTAAATATGGATTATTTTCAAATTGTGCTGAATAGAATACAAATTGTGTTTAAGATTTGAATAAATAATGACTATGAATTCAAATATTTTGAAAAAAGTCAAATACGAATCAAATACAGTGATATTTGATTTGATTCGATTCATATACATCCCTAAGTGCAACGGCTGAATTTCTCTCTCAAATCTTCAACAGGAAGAAGTGAACGGAAAAAATCATCATCCCTAATGTATTACTTTGGACTCAATCGATTGGTCTTAGGGCTACGTTTCCATTCGGCAGTGCTGCGATGCGGATGGAATTGCTACTGCCAGACAAACATCTACAGTCCAATAAGATTAATGGGTATGCACACTATAAGCCCAGTTAATCCATAGATCGTGATAACCTCCAAGCCAGACGATTGGGTTACACGGGATGCTTTGGGGTTCGACCTCAACAACAAGATCATAGACGAACATCATGAGGGTGAGTGGTTCTCTAAAGATCACCAGGTATGCTTCTGTCCTATTTCAGATTCAATCTCCATGCTATGCTACTTTATGGTTTACATAGGGCCCGCTTTTTTTTGGAGAAAATCCTAGAAAATTCTTACTCCTGCTGCCTCATCCCGTCCCCAGTCCACTCGCCACACATTGTCACCTTCAAGTCATGTTTCCACATAAAAACATTAGCCCCTTTTTTGAGAACAAACATTAAGGGGCTGTTTGTTTCAGCCTCTTAATGGTTCAGATGTTTGAATAGTTCAGCACTTAATGCTTTGGTTCAGACTTTGTTTCAGCCTCTTAATGGTTCAGATGTCTGAATGGCTCAGACATTTGCCTCTGAATGGTTAAGTATTATACAGAGTCTAACTGGTTAAGACCTCTTATCTGAATTGATCAGACATTTGCCTCTGAATAGTTAAGCAATATACTAGCTCTTAATGGTTCAGACCTCTTATTGGTTCAGCACTTAATGGTTCAGACCTCTTACTGGTTCAGCACTTACCTATTCAGAAGTTGCAAAACAGCCCTAAGATAAAGCCATTATTACATATATCACTCATCATTGTACACGAAGTATATTATTAAAGTGGGATAGAAAAGAACATTCTTTAACCATGTTGTGATTAAATTAATTTTGTACTCTCTCATTCATAAAGCCATCAATGAAATGGATGGAGAGCTTGTGGGCACAAATTGGTCATATTCATTGGCTTGATAAGGAAATTGATGTCAAGTCTATGCTAGATGATTGGGTTGATTTTAAGGAGGAGGCTTCGGCGGGGTACCTCAAGAGGATCATAAGGAGACTTCGCAAGGATGGGCGGTTCTCTCTAGCTCTAAAGGTAAGTTCTTCCCTATTTCATATTCAATCTTGTTGCTGCTATATTGTGAGGTGGTGCTGTGGGTGCTAGATTGAGGTGATTACGCCCAATGTGAAGATGCGAGAGGCTTTTGTTGGTGGGGAAGTAGGGGAAGGAGTAGACATATGAAGATTTGGAAGGAAGTGATTAAACAAGGCTTAGGACTTCTTGCAGTTACTGAGGATATCCTTTGATAAGTGTGTTTGGAGAGCTATGATTAGAGTAGTTCGATAGGTGCCTTGGGCTAAGGGGTAGTTTCCTATTTGTCGTATGCTTTGTATGCCTTGTATGCTTGGTGCTCTGTGATTATATTCTTTGTTAGTTCTAGTTTATTTTGTCTATGTGTGCTATGTACTTTCTCTACTTTATGTATCCCCTATGATTGTTTTATTTATGAAGCTTGAGCGAGGGTCTCTTGGAAACAACCTCTCTACTTCTGAGTAAGGGCAAGGTTTGCATAAAGACACCCTCCCTAGACCATACTCTTGTGGGATTTAACTGAGTTGTTGTTGTTGTGTGCTACTATACTGTTTAATTAGATTACAAGGAACTTGAGGCTTTTTGGGGCAGCTCATTTTGCCACAACTATGCATAAAAATTGCAACACAGTACGAAGTACTTTTTCAGCCACATTAAGGGCTTTTTTCCTTCACTGATGTGATCTGTTATAATATGAATTTGTTAATGTCTGAGCTGAATCATTCTCATCGATCTGAATGGATTTGATCTCAATCTTTCACATCAAATACTAATGGATGTGATTCAAATTAAACTTATAATTATTGCAAAAATTCCATTACCATTTAGCTTTATTTACTCCTATTTTAAATTATACGTAGTACTTGTTAGGATGGTTGCTCTTATACTCCATCCCATTTAAAAGTCTATACTTGCTTTTTACACAGTCAAACTATTTCTTTCTTTTTGTCTATTTTCATCTATCATTTGATGATAAAATAATACTCCATTTGTCCCTCAAAGATATGCCTACTTTCCTTTTCCATCTATCCCAAAATAATTTTCTCATTTTGACTTTTTCACATTTTAGAAAACAATAAGTGATCCAAATTTCCTCTCTTCCAAACAACTTTCAACCATACACTTCTCACTTTTTAACATCTTTTTAACAATTTTTTTTAATATTTTTGAAAAGTAAATATATAAATCTTTGCGGGATGGAGGGAGTATAGTCATGACATCTTTTGTTGTAGATGTTTTGATTAGTTTTCAAATATGCTCCCTCCGTCTAAATTTAAATTGTCTATTTTGGTTTACAATGTTTGACTAAAATTATTTTAAGTTCGTTTTATATGAAAATTGGTGTAGAATTTAAAACTAAAATTTATATACGGAGTATTTAAAAACTATATTTAAAGTTCTACAAAACAAGAGGTGACATGACTTTTTTTCATTAAACGAGTACCAAAAATGGGTAATAAAATTGAGTAAAGTTTGACTCTGTGAATACTGAACCAACTTAAATTGGGATAAAGTATAAATTTTAATTTTTAATTATATACCAATCTTTCTATTTTCATATAATAGCTACAACCCAATTGGAGTAACGTAATCTTTATACAAACTAAATTGAATATGACATGGTCAAACATCGTAACACATACAATAAACTTTTAAATGGGATGAAGGGTTCCTCAAAAGAAAATGGGGTGGAGGAATTATTATTTAATTATGCAGTAATATTTAATATAAGTTCAAGACTTCAAGTTAAAAGATTATTACTAGAATTGACAAAAGATAATGACTAAATAAAAATTAGTATCAACTTTTTTCCAATTCTTACAATATTGGACTATTAATAATTTCAAAATAAAGATAATGATGTGACATACATACCATTTCGTTGCCTAGCCCAGAGTCCTAGACACCCCAGCTGCAGTTGCTGCTGCGATAAGACCCCAAGTGGGGAATGAGAATCCTCGCTGCCTGCGAGTTTGCGTTACAGAGGAGTCTCCAAACTTGTTTGGCAAGCATTGCCATGTTAAAGACATCAAGTCTTTGGAAGCCCAAACTGCTCACAAATTTAGGTTTACAGAGGGCATCCCAGCTATTCTAATGAATTTTGTACCCATTGAAATTTCTAAGATGTGTATCACCTGTAAATGCCTAGAAGCAGATCTCACAGAATCTCACAGGCAGATACACACTTTTCAACCAATGACAGTAAATATGCTAAAACACACAGTTAAACACACACAAAGAATAAAGCAGTAAACGACACAAATTTGTTAACGCAGTTCGGAGCAGATTCTCCTACGTCTGCGAGGCCCACGTCCGTGTAACAGCCCTCCACTAGATCTTAGTAAAGTTTATACAGATCAACAACAATATGTCTGATAAGGTTTTGACTGAATAAGCTTACTATAGACCTCGAGTGATCAACTCTGTTGCACTCGTCTCCTGGCTTGTTACACCCTCTCTAGGTATCTTCCAAGGACGTGTTGAACAGCCTTCTGTCCAGGTCAACTCAGTACTCAACTCCTCGAGTGATCAACTCTGTTGCACTCGTCTCCTGGCTTGTTACACCCTCTCTAGGTATCTTCCAAGGACGTGTTGAACAGCCTTCTGTCCAGGTCAACTCAGTACTCAACTCCCAGCTATTCTAATGAATTTTGTACCCATTCCACTGCCACGCCACCAAAACATTGAAAACATGCTGTGATGAGAGTTGATTATTGTTGTTGGGAAGCAGTAAAGGCTCAGTAGGAGTGATGGGATAGCTTGAGCAACAACCTTCGGGAGGACTTCTTTCCCTGCCTGTGAGTGGAAGGCAAAGTTCTTTTTGTCTTCACCGGTGTTGAATCTCCATTCACTGCTTTTGGCGTCCCTCCCAATGACGGCCTACTCCAGTCGTAATTGCCGCTCTACTTGAAACGACCAAGAAGCTCTGCCAAGGCCCGATTGTGGGGCATCACTTAAGAGACTCGATTTCGAGATTGTCCGCGACCGCCTCTGAATTCATTCTGACCAAGAAGCTTTGCCAGGACCTCTTTGCCACTCGTTCTTCTGCTGATCGTGAGATCCTCACAAGCTTCGAACTTGATCGGTCAATCATCCGGGTCATAAGGATAGGATGTTTGTCCAGTCCTTGGCAGGTTTCAAGTTGATTCTCTTGCAATCTACTTTTCTCCAAACCCTTGAGGTAGTCCGTAGTCACTAGACTCAAAGACACCGACCAGCAACAAACGGAAGAAAGGGTGGCTTGGTATGCAAAGATGTTTTATAGGCAACTGGCCTTCTTTCTAAAGAGAAATTTACATAGAAATCGACTGATGTAAGGTGATTGTGGCTCTGAAATAGCTCTCCTGTAGCTATTCCGTACAAGGCAAGGGCCATGAAAAAGGCAAATTTGAATGATGAGATGGTCGCCAACGTGGCCAATCTTGAGGTGAGCCTGGCCTCTGCTTTGGAGGAAACCGACTGCAAGGGAGAGGAAGGTGCCATGGAGAGGGAGGGAGGACACAGCTTCCACCTTTAAGGCATCTCTAGCCTTCGAGGAGGTTGCAATGGAGAAGATGGCAGAGCTCGTTCCACTCTGGGCCGAGACAGAGGAAGGTGTACGCTCGGTTACTGCTGAAGAGAGGTCTTGCCTAACTAGGGGATATTAACTGCCCAACAAATCTTTTACCAAAAAGTTTCCGAGGCCAACCCCTCCGTCTCCCTAGAAGCCTTGGCTGTTACCAATCATAATATTCTCAATTATATTTTCAGTATACACACATTGATACACATGCGAAGTATATAAGATTCAGTCTAGCACCGAGTGACTCCACCATCAGGAGAAAATGTAGATTGATTAAAAAAAAAGTATAAATTTGACAATGTGGGTTGATTAAAAATATGTAAGGAAGAAGCATAAAAAGAAATCAAAGCATGGATCCCATTTTGAAGTGGACTCTACACATGTATCTGATGGCAACATATAAAAGCCTTAACAACCAATTTCTCTCTAAGTTGTCTTTTGTACTAACATTCTAATTTATTCTAATTCATCATGGAACTACCTGTTAAGTTGTAAATGTTCAGAGTGAAGTATTAAGCATGGTTGTTAAGTCGTTGCCTAGTTGACGACTAGTCACCAACTAGGCGTCTGGTCGTTTTGTAGAGAGCGACTTGAGTATCGCCTAGCGACTTAAGGTGACTAGTCGTCCAAAGTGATGCCTAGGTGACGACTAGTCGATGATTGAAACCCTACCCAATTTGACCCGACCCTACCCGACCCAATTTTCATTAAATTTAAAGAATAGAAGGCTTCGCTCACTTGATCTGTACATGGCGAGAGTCACTTACCCTTTTCAATGTCTCTCTCTCATTGTCATAGCCCATCTATGGCATACGTCCACTACGTCAAAAACAGATGCTGACAACTGTTTCTTTTAGTAGTCTCTCGGTGCTGATTTTAGTAGTCTTCCGAGCAGCTGTCTAATATATTTACAGACTACTGTTTAAAAACAATTGTGTAAAATAGTTGACGACAACTGTTTTGTAATATTTTAGAGTACCACTTTTTGGTGTTTTCTTTGTATGAGTAAGACATCTGTTTTTTAGAGTTAAAGATAACTGTGATTTTTTGTTGTCTATTTATAATGAATACTACTGTTGTTTTTAACTTCAGACTCCTAATTTTTGGTGTTGTCGTTCAACAATATAGACATCTACTTTAAAAAGTAATTGAAAAAGATATCAGACTGCTGCTCGGAAGACAACTAAATAAAATTAGCATCAGACAACTGTTATCTTTTCTTGTATTTCTAGAATATGAACTACTAACATTATTCTTATTCAAACTGCTGTTTTTTTTAGTTGTATATTGATTATTAATACAACGATGTTTTGTAGTTTTCCTTGAAATATCCTAACTATCTTTTATGACAGTAGTTGAATTGTTTATCAGACAGCTACCCCAAAGATTACTAAAGAAATTTGTATCAGACAACTATTATTTCACAATGTATTTTAAAAATATGAACTACTATTTTTGTAGTATTTCAAACAACTGTTTATTTTAACTGTCTAAATGTTACTAACACTACGGGTTTGTGTAGTTGTACATACACTTTTCAAACTATTAATTTGAATGGTAGTTGAATTTTTTATTAGACATGTGTAATCTTGTGTTGATTACCAAATAAATATAAATTCAAAATACACAATATATTGAACAATATATAAATTCATACATTTAAAATATTATTAGCATGTAATAATTTAATATTTACATCATCTTCCTTACAATTTACATATTTTACATGTCTGCTTCTTCAATCCATCGTATTCCTATGATACAGGTTGTTGCTCCTACACAGGAACAAGTGAGGAACCCAATCCTTGAGAATCTTCGTGGATTGAACTTGAATCTTCTACCTGTCGGCAGAAACCCAATAACTCCTGAAATGATCATTGTGAATCAAGAACTAATTGTTGGAGACAACCACAGAACGTATAATTGAATCTAATATTAAAAAACAATAAAAATGTGTGAATGTGTTAACTGAATTTGGTTGTACTTCAATCACCTCTTTCACACACAAATAAACTTTTTCATACAGTTTGATAATAATATCCGTACCTTTTGGAGTCCTTGGTTCTAGTGTGATTTTTCATTCCTCTCTAATGCTTGAAAAAATTATGGCAAATAATCATCAAGGAAATCTGTCAAAATATAGTGAAGGTAGTTAAGCCAAACCTTTAATCAGGATAGAATACAAAACACCATCTGATTAAAGTATGCCTACATCTATTCGGATAGTCTTCAATGCATCCAATGGATAGTCTTCAATACATCTATTTGAATTGTTTACACTATACTCTAACAAATTATTCTGTTTAAGATTTTCACTCTATGTGNTGATTTCCTTTACTTGGTTTAATTAAAAAACAAAAAAAAATGATCTTATAAATATTCTTCATTTTATTAATTTAAAAAAAATAGATTACCAACTTTATGATTCAAAAAAATATGATCCTTATATTTGTAAAATAAATATTGTTTGTCTCTCGTGCATTATTATGATTATCCTCCCTCGTATTGATTATAAAGAGTTTTTAAATAAAACTAGAATTAGATCTAGCAGATTAGATCTAATCAGATAAGATGCTTTAAGATCAAATCAAATTCAATTAGATCTTATTGCTTACATATTTCATGTGAGCTAATACATCTCAATTTAACATGTTTATATGTTGTTTAGATGATATCTAATGAAAATCAGATCTCATCATATCAGATTAGACTAGCTCAAATTAAAAGAGTTTTAATTATAACTAATCGGGCTAATTAAATCAAATCGGACAAAAACATATATAATCGAAATAAATCAAAGTCAAATCCAATAAGATGAGATCAAATCTTCAAAAATAAGATGAGATCAAATTCAAATCTAGTAAGATCAGATCAAATTTTTAAAAAAAACATATCGGATCTAGTTAGATTGAATCAGACCAAAATAGATCTGATCAGATCAAATCAAATTCAAATTTATTAAGATCAGATCAAGTCTTTAAAAAAAACAAGTTGATTATATAGGTCGTGTCCGATTTTCCTGATATAATCTATAAATGCATCAAATTAGATCAAATTAGATCGAATTGGACCAAAACAGATCAAATCAAATTCAAATATAATATGATCAGATCTAATTTAAAAAAAACAATTCACTTGTGTTGGTTGTGTCTTATTTTTGTGATATAAACATTAAATGCATCATATCAGATTAGATCAAATCAGACCAAAACAGATCTAATCCTATCAAATCAAATTCATATCCAATAAAATAAGATCTAGTCTACAAAAAAATCAATTTACTAGTCAAGATTGTTTCTTATTTTCCAGGTATAATCTTTAAATGCATAAGATATGAATTTAGTTAATACTCCGTATTATTAAAGTTTACCTCCCAAACTCTACAATTTTAATTTCCCTCCATCTAAATTCATTTTCCCTCCCCTAAATTTCATTTTCCCTCTTTCTAAATTCATTTTCCCTCCCCTAAATTTCATTCTCCCTCTTCCTAATTTCTCTTTTCCCTCTTCTAAAAAACTCTATCTCTGGTCGATTACAGAAGAAACCCTATCTTTTCGCCACTTCTTCTTACCTTCATGCCTGGAGCCAGGCCTGTCGATCCTCGTCGCTCCTATCTTCTTCGTCGCCATAGAGATACCTCGACGCCGGGCAGTGGTCTTCCGATCCCCATAGAGTACCGCAATCCCTACTGCCTCCAATTTACAGGTTTTACTTTATCTTGAAAATACTCTAATGGTTAAATTATGTGAATTTCTTTGCATATCTCTTGAAAATACTCTAAATTCTTCAATTATATGAATGAAAATATTCTAATTCTTCAATTATGAGGATTTATTTGCTTAATTTTTGTTACCTCAATTTGATTTTTGATTTTCTTTTTATTGATATACTTTTAGATCAGATTTTTAAATAAATTTTTTTATCTAAAAATATGAAAGAATCAAAATTATTTTTTACTAGTTTTTTTGTTCACACCTACTAGGTTTACAGTAGGTTTGAAAAACAAATTTTGGAAATTTTATTTGAGAGCTCCATGAGGTTCTCCTCAATCTGTTTTAATATTTTTTCGGCAATTCAAAATTCAGAGTTCCATTACCAAAGACTAACCA